AACAAAAAGAGCTCGAGCGAGACTTTGAAAAAAAGAAAAAAGAACTGGAAAAAGAATATGAAAAGAAACAAAGAGAATCAGAACAAGAGCTTGAAAAAAAGAAAAAAGAGATGGAGAAGGAGCTCGAGAAACAAGCAGAAAAAAAAGGCAAAGGAATCGGAAAAACAAAACTCAGCTAACTCTGAAATGCAAAAAACAATCGAAAAACTGAAACAAAAGAATTCGCAACTCGAAGAAAAGGTTGTCACTTTGGACAAGAGCATTGCCGATATGAAGCAAAAGCACTCGAAAGAGTTGAAAGAGGCTGCAGACAAGCTAAAGGAACAAAAGGAGGGCTCCTTGAAACATGCTCAATTGAAGATAGTGAGAATGAAAAAACAAATTCAAGCAGTTAAACTGGAAAATGATTACCTCAAGGTTGAGGCTCAAGAAATGCAAAAAGAATTTCTTGCCTCACTCCACAAAATATCCTCAACAGCGCTCAAGAAGCTCATGGATGGTTATAAGGATCTTGAAGAAAAATACAAGAAGGAACTCAAAGAAAGGCGATTGCTGTACAATCAACTTCAAGACCTGAAAGGTAATATTAGAGTCAACTTGAGAGTGAGGCCATTACTTCCTGAAGATGGGCAAACTGAAAATTGCATTGAATGTATTGACGACAAGGAGGTGAAAATCTATGACAAGGAGGCTAAAAAGTCATACAAATTCGAGTTTGATAGTGTATTCGGAACAGATTCCACACAAGCTCAAGTATTTGAAGATGTCAAACCTTTGGCAACTTCTATTTTGGATGGATATAATGTTTGTATATTTGCCTATGGACAAACCGGTTCTGGTAAGGTATGTTCTCGAATAATGAATTGCATAGTTAGCGATCTAAATGCAAAAACTTCTGAATAACTACTCCAATTATGAAATCATTTTTGAACTGTTTACATATACTAGACTTTTACCATGGAAGGCCCTCCCAACAATCGAGGAGTCAATTACAACACTCTAGATGAGGTATTCTTTATGATTAAAGAGAGAAAAGGGGAATATAATTATGAAGTTGAAGTAGCGGTTATGGAAATTTATAACGAAAACCTTCATGATCTGCTCACAAAGGATAAGACCAAGCTTGAAATTATGCTCAGCAACAAGGTGACTATTCCAGGCCTGACTAGGATAAAAGTTAACTCCTCAGATGACGTAAGGAAAGTGCTCTCTCAAGGTTATGAAAACAGAGCGACTGGTAATAACAACATCAATGCTCATAGTTCCAGATCTCATTGCATCGTCAGCGTTTTTGTTGAAGGAGTGAATCTCTATACTCAGCAAAAACTGTCTGGAAAGCTCCACTTGATTGATTTGGCTGGAAGTGAAAGACTAAAGAGAACTGATGTTAAAGGTGACCGGTTGAAGGAGGCTCAAAACATCAACAAGAGTTTGAGCGCTTTGGGAGACGTTATTTCATCTCTTTCATCAAAGAAGAGCCACATTCCATACAGAAATTCTAAGCTTACTTCCCTGCTTCAAGATTCACTAGGCGGAAATTCCAAGATGCTCATGTTCGTGAATGTTAGCCCAACGGTTGAAAGCTGCCCAGAAACGCTGTGCTCCCTTGGGTTTGCTCAACGAGCACGAACAGTTGAATTAGGAAAAGCCCAAAAGAATATTGTTTCTCAAGGCACGACAACAACTGCTTCTTCCAGTAATAGCAATAACTAGGTAACTTGAAAGAGGCCTCAATATTTATTTTTTCAATTTTGGTCAAATTAACTTATTTTGCTCGCTCATAATAATCGATGTACACTCCTTGTCAATGCAATCGTGAATTAAGTCCATCCACTCTGAAACCTCTTGCATTTCTCGAAACCGTATTGTCACGCTATATTGCTTTTGTTCGAAACTCCCTCTTATAACAGTTAGTAAGTAAGGGTTCGACTCATAATTTTAACACACACAAGAGGTAACCGTTGTATATTAATTTCGTCCAGATAAAAGACTACTTTTTTAACACTGTCATATATGAGTTGAATTCATTTGAATTAAGATCGAATTATTCAAAATTATAAATCTACTTACCACAACCATCGATACTTTCGAGTGTATTTTATAATGAGCATATCATTGAAGAGAAATAATCGACATGGAGTCACAGCTCCACTCTCTCTCATCTTCTCCGCAAGACAACTCTTTATCAGATACCTCTTGGCAGTCACCAACCCAATCATCTCTAAAGATTCTGCAATTTCTGTCATTTGAGATAAATCAATTTTTGGATGAGTCGAGGAGCGAATGTATTCTTGAATTTTGGAAAACTTCTCAATCACCATCGAAAGAATCTCCATATCTAAGGAGGAGCTTTTCTCTGCCGCTTGCTTTAAATTCTGCAAAATTTGGACTGCCCTTTCAATATACTCTAAGGAAATTTAAAAAGGCATCCACTCGCCACAGAGAACCCTTGAGTGAGTACAAGTGCTTCTCACTTCGTCTCACATATTCTTGAAATTCTTCGTTACTCTTCAATTCCTTCTTTAGGATTTGTAACAAGGAAGGAAGATGCTCAGCGTAATTTTTAAAAATTCTCAATTTGTGAACATGATTGGACAGAACACTCAAAAACTGTTCATACAAACTATTGGAAGGGTTGTTTGAGGATGAATGACATGTTGTTGGAGTCTCATTCATTTGTTGTAAATTGAGAGATTTGTTTTCTTGTTGTTGGTGAGGATGATTCAAAAAGTTGTCAAATTCTTGATAAATTTGAGCATTCAATTTCATAATGACTAACAAATGATCCAAGGCCAACAAATTGGGAAAACACGAAATCTCTCTCTTCCTGAAACATTCATGAATGAGTGGAAGAAAATATCGATTCAAACATTTCAATACCAATGCAAATTCCTTCTCCAAACTCACAAACTCTCTAACATGTTCCAACAATTGATCCTCTCCCAAGTGATTCGATGCTAACGCCTGCTTCATCTTGGTCACCAATCGAATGGGTTTGGGAGGTGGAAGAGGTGTATGGAGAGATTGTTGTGTACCAATTGTGGATGACAGGGAGGAAGTAGTGCCAGGTGAGGGAGCTGTGGAGGTACTACTACTTGTCATGGGTAATAATGAGTGATTGTTTGACTTGTTGGCAGAAGTAGTAGTGGTGGTGCTGGTGGTGGTGCTGTTGTTGATCGTGGCTTTGGAAGAACCTGTTTGATCACCACTTCGAGATGAAACTTTAAAATCATGTTTAAAACAAGAGCGACCTGAAGTCGTTGAGAAAGGAGTTGAATTTCCAATACTAGCTTCCGAGATGTTTTGAGAGTTTCCAAGTCATTGTGTAAAATTTGAGAGAGTTGTTGTTCCTTTTGCTTCCAAATTTGTTGTTCTAACATTAAGAGCCTATTTCTTTCTTTTTCCAATTTGAGTAATTTGGTCAATTCCTCAATCACATGTATGGAGTCACTTCCAACATTGTGACTTTCCAAAGCACTACTCGTTGGCGTTGAAACCACCGCGGTGGTACAGGAAGAGCAGCTGCCTTCCATCGCCTGGAAAGAGATGGTCATATTGGTGGTGTTCGAGGAAGAAGTTTCTTCTCGGCCACCAATAGGAGATGAAGAATGACAATATTGAGTGGAGAGGTTTTGATTGTTATATCGGCTGGTTTGGTTATTCACATTGCTTGTCGAAGGAGGAGAAGTGGTCCCTGAACATGAATGGCTCGATGAATGTACGCATGAGTTGGACCATTCATTAATTCCTTTCGGGGAGATGGTTGTTGGGACAATGAATTCATGATGGTCCTCTGAGATTTCACTTCGAAAACCTAACACAAGGAGGTTGTTAGGGAGATGTGAATAAATATTCTTTTGTTTTGTTGGAATTTTAAAGTCGGTTGAGTGTTGAATTTTAAATATTTTTGTAAACATTTTCAAATTGTTTCGATTACCTTTTGAGAGTCCATTCTCAGCTGAGAATGGGAAAAATTATGCCACTTTCATTCAAACTTCGTACCTTATTGATGAATTACCCAATGAAGGAGAATTAAAACGACCATGTGACTATATTCATAACATTCCTTATGGAGTGACCTCAATGGTACTATGGATCTTAAAAGGTGATGAAATATAGAGTTGCCAAAGAAAAATGTCGTTCGTATTGTTTTTCACCATTCTAAATTTCTTGTTCAATATGGCACTTTAAAACTTTTGGAGTTATCAGTGTATGACCTTATCAGATATAGATCATGGGACATAAATAATTATTGTTGTTATATTGAAATTGAGTGTATTTCGTACGTAATAAAAACTTAAAGTCAAATGAGACAATAGTACGGCAGCATTCTTCAGACCTTTACAAAAGTATTGTTCCGTGAACGAATCTGTGAGAAAATTCTGTAAATGATTAAGGTTTTTCAGCAAGCAATTGTTCAATCCAAACATTCATTTGATCTGGCTCAACATCTCTTCCAAATCTTGCCACCACTTGACCTTTTCTATTCACTAAAAACTTGGTAAACATTTGAATGACAGAAACATCCTCTCCTTCAAATTGTTCGGGATGTCTTGCAATTTTCTTTTCCAATTCCTCAGCTTTTTCTTTCAAGAAAGCAAACACTTCATGTTCATTAATAGTGTTCAAATGAATTGGTGACATGACCTTGAACGTATCATGAATCACTTGCTTAATATCCTCTTGAGCCTCTTTGGGTTGACGCAAAATGGAATCGACATTGTATTGTGGAGGAGTATGCTCGTGAGTGACCTCCTTCTCCGTCGAAGGGAATGCCAAAATATTCAAATCTTTTTTCCATATTTTTCATACAACAGACGTAATTCCATCAATTGTTTAAATTCCATCGGATGAGTAACCACACCCTTGCTCATTCTAATCAATTCATCTTCATTGATATTCACAATCAGACAGACCTTTTTTAAACAATGAAAAATCAACCAAATTTCCATCAATGTCTTTTGCTTTTAAATCATAAAACGATGAAGCAACAACGGCATTGAATTTTGAACAAGTTGATGAAAAACATCGTGTGTGCTTCAATCCCATCATCGATGATGAAACAAGTAACTTGCTTGGGGAGGTGGCAGAGCACTGCTGCTTTTGGATCCATGAAATACCTTTTTCATCATCATCTTCTTGATATTAAAATCATCCACAGGATACGCATCATTAGAGATCAGATCATCGGAAGAGAATCAAGATACAGAAAAAGAGATTGATCCATCTTCATACTTACCTTGAGTTGGTGTTTGAAGGTAGAGAGGATTGGACACTCGGCTTAATGTTAATATAATTTTTGTTGTTGTTCAGGTGGTGTGATGGTTGGGAATGGCTTTTGTGTCCTTATTAGTACTCGTTTAAAGGGCACTACCCGATTGACTTTTGGGTCGTGAAATACTTTTGGAAAATTCAACCGCTTCATAAAAGATTAAAAAATGTTCATTCTTTGACGTACTGTACAACAACATATTAACTTGATAGTTGTATATTGTTCACAATATTCGTTCACCAAAATTTGATCATTTTCACAACCTGAGTTTCAAGAATATTCAAGTGGAAATTAAACAAAAAATGTTTTTTGGCATCTCGTGATCGGAGCAGTCATTCTCTTTCTCTTTCTTTACACGTGCGCCAAATTCCGAGTCTTTGAGAATCTTCTCTCTCGACACTTTGTGTTTGATCCCAAAGAATTGGATCAAATTGTGAAGAGAGCTGTCGACAAGTATCCCAATGATTATTCCGTTTCGTTGGGTCCTATTAAACATGGAAAAGAAGAAAGCATCTATTTGTGAAATTAAAGATTTGGCACGAAATTGGATACGAGACACTCCCGATATGGATGGAAAATTTATTGTTACACCAGAAAATCCAGATACCATCTTTGAGAGAAGATGTCAGTATATTTTGGAACAATTATGTGAAAAATATCCAAATTATTGTTCGGATGTGAAAACGATGGATTTCTTTGATAGCAAAAGATGAAACAACAATGGATGTTTAATATGTGTGGTGTATGTAATATTTATTTGTTCAATATTTATTTCAAATTCAGGATTATTGTGTTCATCCAACATCTAATTATTATGGATCAACCAACAATGTGGAACGACATTACAAATGATTAGGGAGCTCTTGGACATATTTGTGTGTTCCACTTTAGCTTTACTGAGTATATTATTGTAAGTTTAGTGCATTCTTCAATAATTTCATAAATAATAATTGATATTATTGTTGAAATGATACTACACTGTGGTTGACATGTGGCACTCATAGCTCTATGGAACTCCAGTAGGCACAAGTGGATATTCTGGCAGATACATGATGGATGTTTATGATTACATTATTCAGGTTGGTTGAATTTTTCTCTTTGAATTTCACCTTGACATGAACTCTTTCAAAACTAATTCCTGCAAACAATATTCATGAATAGGGACATCACGAAACATACACTCCTGGAAATGTCAGAGGACTTTACTACAAACCAGGAGACATGACTTTCTTACCAAGATTTGAAGCATGTTCCTATAAATCAGCTCCTCATACCTACATGATGGAGTATGGAAGAGGTTTTCCTGGAGTTGTTTTGGGAGCCTGTTACCCTTTGGTGTCTGCTCTTTTTACGACTTTGGATTTCTATTCATTCTATCATCAAATTAAGGTAGTTTCAAAACACATGATGAAAAATTGGTTTTCGAATCGAAAGTTTTGAGCAACACATGATGATGCCTTCTCGGACAGTGTCACACCAATCTATATATTTTGTAGCTGATCTTTTTGATTTATTTACTGAATAAATTACATATTTCTTGATGGTGGAGGGTTGGACAGCAGATATTCAACGGCAGCATTTACATTTCCATTGGTGGCCAAAAGAGCCTCAATATTTGATTGCTCGTCAAAAAGCCCATTTCTTGGAGTTGAGAAAGCTGTGCGGCAAATCGCTCTCGTGGAGGTTGTGTATTGGCAGTTGTTGTTGGCATTTGTCCACCCATCCATGGATTGCCAAATAAGAATGGATTTGGCATTTGAGGAAAACATTTCCTCCAGTTGTCGACGAAGTATTAGTACCACCTTGAGATTGATTCATCATTCCTTGCAATTGCATGACATGTTGAATAAATTGGGGATTGCTCAACATGGTTCTCAACATTGGATTGCTTTGGGTCATTTGCTGTAACATTGGATTTGAGTTGATGAGCTGATCTAACATTTGTGGATCGGAAAGCATTTCTGTCATCATTCTTTGCATGAAAGGATTGTTCATCATTTGTTGAACTTGTTGTGGGTTCATTCCGCCCATGTTTGGGAATCCCATTCCTCCCATGCCACCAAACATGTTTGCAAATGGGTTCGCATTTGTTGTATTGCCTGTGTTTCCAGTTGACGATGTGTTGGAAGAAGGTGGTGGTGTTGTTGTTGTTGCTGCTGTTCCTGTTGAATTATTTCCCCATGTTGAATGGTTGTCCAGGTGGTACAGAAGTAGTGTTTGACGTTGTTGGTTGCTCTGGTGTAGTTGTTGTTCCTCTAAACATTTCAGTTGTGGCTTCGTGTAAAGGTTCTTGAATGTCGCTGTACATTCTTCTAAGAGCGTCAAAACCTCCTGGAAGATTTTCAATATTACTCATGGCTAAATCAGTGTTTCTCATCATTTCTCTCATGAGCTCTGGATTTCTTGCCATTTCCATTGCTCTTCTGATCATTTCAGGATCTTGAAGCATTCTACCAACTTCAGGATTATTTCTCATAATTTGTTGCATTTGAGGATTCGAATTCATCATTTCACGAATGAAATCTGGATTGTTGAGCATACTTTGCACGAAAGGATTATTCATCATTTGTTGCATCATGTTAGGATCTACATTTGGAAATCCACCTGCTCCGAACATGTTGTTGTTATTATCTCCACCAAAACCACCTAAATTTCCAAACAAACTGAATGGATTTTGTTGTTGATTGGGGGCGGTTTGTGAGGTGGTGTTATTAGTGGTTGTTGTGCTAGTGGTAGTAGAGGATGGTGGTACATTTGACGAAGTGGTGGTTGATGGTGGTGGAGTGGTTGTTGTTGATGTTGCCGATGGAGTGGTTGTTGAAGAAGTGGTAGTAGCAGCACCCGATGGTTTTCCTCTTACCAAATGAATGGTAAGCCCCTCTTCAACGCCATAACTCTTCAAAGTGGCTTGATCCTTGAGTACTTTTCCTCTATAGATTAAACGTTGATCGGAGGCCGGAATATTGGAATGACTCGCAACTACTTGTTTAAATTCTTCAACTGTATTGTCGAGATCCACGTTATCAATAGAGAATGTATCTCCGTTACTACATCTGATGGTTACTTTCATTTTCAATTTTCTAAATCAGAGAGAACGATGAAGGATTAAGAGATTTGACAACAAAATGGTTAAGATAATGATGATGAAATAAAACACAATCAATAGCAATTAATAATTATTTGACCGAACACAAGATACGTGATGATTGAACAATTAACAGTTATCCTCCTCTCTCAAGCAGAATCGGAATAGAAACCAACCTTATAACGGAACTTGGAACCGGTTTTGATTTTTTTAAATTTTTAAATCTATTTTTGATCTCGAGTTTCCACCATAGATTTTGGCTGTCTTGTCATCCTTTGGCTAAAAATTGTTAAATAGATTCTGTGAGGCTTAATATTCGTTGAAGGGTCGTTATCTTGTGGTTGGTCATTAAATATAAATTTAAGCGAATACGTTTATTTGTTTTTTGGATTCCTTGAAAGTAGCGGAGAGGTAAATAAGGGATGACTGACACCTCAATAACCATCTCAATTCGAATCATCATCCTCCATCGTGGCATCTTTTCAATTTCGATATTATCTATTGGCTCATAAACTTCAATAATATCTTCAGAATACCATTGTTCAGGTCTTATAGTTTTTGGACCCGAGTTGAACATGACAATTTTTTCCATTTCTTTCACACAATCCGAAAGTTCTTCAACGTGTCGAACAATAAGGTCTGAACTTTTGCAAGTTGCATTGAGCTGCTTCTTCTTTTCACTCATGTCATTGGTTTTAATGAATTCTTGAGAGGAACATTTTTCCAATTCAACAAGCTCCTCAAGAAGTTGCATTGCTCTCTCGAGCGCCGAACATTCATGAACTGAATTGAAAAAATCAAGAAAGAAGTTCAACTGTTTTCTTCTCACTTCAATGACATTCTTGAGATAGAACTTCATTTCTTCAAATTCAAATATTTTCATATTCAAATTTCCCAAAAGGTCAATGAGTTTTTGTTGATCTTGTTCTGAATAAAAACTTTTGAACATGCACATCTGAACGATAATGTGCATCATTTCATCGATGAGAGGCTTCATTTGAGGCTGATTGCAATATAACTGGAACCATTGATGGATCTTTTGAAATATTGTTCTGCTTTGATGTGAATGTGATTCTTCAACTTGCATTTCCAATCAATCAATGAAATTGGTTGAAAAGTAATGCTCTCATTAGAAGGTAACTTCTCGAAGGAAGTGGTGAAACTTTGACAAGGAAATGACAACCTCAATTCATACAAGAGACCATGCAAAAACATGGGCCATGCATTATCAGAGTGTAAGATGGTGATTTTACACAACTCATTTGGCTCCAACAAGAGCGTTCCATCCAAATAAGACGAATCGCTTTCCTTCGTGTTTGCTGCAGAAGTGTTAAGTATGATGGTTTCTGGCAATGTGAGATGTTTGAGATTTGGAAATGCAGTACAAATGGCCTTAATTAAGGTTGGTAATGGTAAAGATGTACTCAAGCCATAGACGGTAGGGAAGAGACATGAGGCAATGGATTTTTACAGCTGTTTTCAATGAAGTCCCATTCAAAAGGTACAGTCCTAAATTCGTGACAGTACTTGGCATGAATAGAATAGAATCAAATCATTCACAGTCAGTGAAGTAAGTTCTGACATGTGGTTCACGTTCAGTTTAGGAATCTCCATTATTTCAAGAGAGTTTCTGTTCAATTTAGAACGCCGCAAAATCGAAATCACACAAATGCAGTGTTTTTAACTGTTTTCCAAAGGAACTTTACCTACAAATTAAACTCCTCTTCATTCATTTCACCCTTAAATGCCAACGATTCGATAGTGGGAGTTTTCTCAACAATGGAAAGCATATTTGAAGAGTCACGGAATACCAAAGTTCTAATGCCTTGTGATTTTACCTTCACGGGGCATTGATTCTCTTTCTGAATGAGTTGACATTTTTCAAAAGTTAGAGAATGGGTCTTCGAAAAATGTCTGAAAACCAAACCGCCCTCGGCGATGAAGACACTAATCACCTTCGCCATCACGCCTCTATCAAAGAGGTCGCTATTCGCCCGCATACTGCAAACAAATCTCTTTCTGCTCAAAAATCGGCACATGATAAATGGAGAGAAGAAATGGAAAATGAAATTCTAGAGGCTCCGTCTTCCGTCAATATAGCCAATTTGTCGGAAATACAACCTAGCCCACCCAGCATATACAACTCCCCAATGTTGTCGCAGCCAGAGGTCTCTAATATTACTACAACCTCTGGAGTCTCAGTTTTAATACCTCAGCCATGACCGATGACCATTCTACTAAATTGAAGCGACATCATAAGCTCTTCAGAGTGGTAGCCTTTACTACCAACTCTGTCGAAGAATCCTTGCAACCGTCGCAATGAATGCCGATACGTTGTACGGTAGTAGAGTTGTCAGTGAATTAGATTGTATTATCTTCTTCTTCAAGTCGCGCAAATTGGCAAACCAAGCAATATCTGCTGGTGCTAAGTCCAAGCTCACTATGATACCTCAAACCGTCAAAACATCATTCCGTTATAAGGTCGACAAGGATTTAGACAAGACTAATATGCATTCTATTATCTCAACCCTTGGTTCTTCTATCAACAATATCAATTTTAGCAAGATGGATGATCAGGAATTTTGGGCTATTGGTACTAATATTGAGTTACCTGCCAATCATTTGAAGAAATTTAAGCTTTCCAAAATGAGAACAGATATCTCTCGCTTCCGTATTGCCTTTAATGGTAAAGAAAAGATCTTCCTAAACTCAAGGGTGCCATTAGTTCCCAATGGAAAGTCAAGATTGAGAGTATCGAGTTGGCTAAGAAGATGGCTGTTGTTGGTATTAAAAAGATCAAATTACCAATAACATTACCAAGTTCGTCCAAGTTGGTAATTATAGTTTCAGAAACCTCTCATTCTCTACTAGAGTTGCCAATTCTATCAGTCACAGAATGGAAGCTGTTGAAAACAAATGTCTGAAATGTCATCAGCTCTCCAAAAATTGACAAAGGAAATGGTTGTCTGGTCTGGTAAAAGGTCACGGAAGGCTTTAATAAGATCAACAAAGCTGTTGAAGAAATTAATCAAAAAATCAACGCTCTCTTAGGTACTACTACTCGCAACAAGGGTAAAAGTGGGCATAAGAAGGGCCGACATTCCCTAATGGACCCTCATTCTAAAAAAACTCCTTCAATTTAGGTACTGCTAATTTTGGAGGAGTTGGCTGGAAAAAACAATCTCAATTACTTACCTTAGCCCGCAAATATGAACTGGATGTCCTTAATATCCAGGAAACTCATTTAAAATCCAGTACGAAAGACTATTGGAATATATGGTATTTCAGATCCTTCTTTCGTGGCTACTTAGTTTACAATTCCAACGCCACTGAAGGTGATAATGGAGCAGGAATTGCTACTATTATCAGACCGTCACCTTTATTAAGGTACTCCAATTCGTCGAACATATTCAAGGCAGATTATCAGAAGTCATTTTGGAACATAAATACCTAGGTGTGGCTCGCATTTTCAATTGGTATGGCCCGGCTAACAAAAACAAACTAGAATTCATGAATAAGGCTCTCAATATTATCAACATTTCTACTCAAACAGCGGTCTTTCATGGTGAACGTATTGTCATATTGGGAGATTTGAATGCCAATACTAAAACATTCAATAAGGTATCTTATGCCGCCCATGAACGACTATTAATTGACCAATGTGACAAATTGAAATTCTTTGATGTTGTTCCTATTCCAAACACACCTTCGTTTTCTCAACGCAACAAATACTCTCATGGTTTTTCTCGCCCGGACCATATTATTACTTCCCACAATGATTATTCTGGTGTAGAAGATGTTCCTACTGCTTATTCTCACAAACTTTTAACTATC